AGCAAATCCTTTTCAGCTCTTGGTGCATCTTCCCCCTCCTTGTCACCTGCTGTACTCCGTGCATAGGTGTAGTGATTTGTCTTCAGTCCAGAAATAATCACATCTTCCATTCTTGTATACTGCTCCAAATCTTCAACTCTTTTTTCCAGCTCTTCAATCTTCTTGTCTTTTTCCTTAATCACAATCTTCAGTTGTCTTACTTCTTCAATTAAGTCCAGTAGTCCTGCTTGCTGTTTCACCACCTTACTCAATTCCTCTGACATGAAGTTAAGAGACTTCTTAACTTCTTCAATATCTTCTGTTAGCCTCTTAGTTGTCATGTTTCTTGATCACCAATTTAAATTCTTAGAAGACAAAATTAATTCCAGGCTCCAGGTAATCCAATAAGCCAGGTGTTACTTGTAGAGCACATGTGATGAAAGAAAGGGACCCTAAACTTCAAGGTTTGTGGAAATACGCACACAAAATGAAGCAAAACTTCTTTGTGAAGATACAAGTCTTAACCAATCTTTTGGATGTTAAGTTCTTTTCGTGATGTTTGTTGGATTGCTAAGAGTAACAAACACAGTTTTCCCAATCAGCAGCCATCTTGGTTTCAGCGTGCACTCAATGACACCTTATCTTCATCACGAGGAAGATAAATAAACTAGCATTGTAGGTTGCTTAACATCTCAGTAGTTTGTGTTAAAAATGGCTGCAAATGAATGTGAATCTATCTGAACATAGCATTCCTTCGCATAACAGAACCCAGCTGAATCGCATCTGCTCCTTTCTAGCGTGGCAGCGTTATCTTGAGTGGAGTTCTCGTTAGGCATGCAAGATTTTCTTTGTCTTTATTTGGTGCTGTTGTGTTTGGCTTCAGGCTCGAGTGGAGTGGATATTTCATCTCCATGCATTTGCAAACATTTGCAGTCTGGATCACTGAAAGGAAACTGATTACTAATTTTAGATCAGACGGGGTTACTGTATGTTTATGTGGTCCTTGTGTGAACATGTAACAAGACTAGTAAGATATTAGGATTTATTTATTTTTAAAGTCCAGTTAAAATAAACTTTTGCTTTTCCAGATTCAACAACTGGAGACGCAGGTGATCGATGCGGAGAAACGGGCGTTCACAGCTCAGCAGCAGGTGAGGACCAGAAACACAAGTTTGTTTGTCTTTCCTTTCGATGTGTCGGAATGCGATTATGTGAGTACATGTGTGATGATTCCAGGTGCAGTGGATGGAGGAGAAGCTCAAAGCAGCAGATGGTCAGTCTGGAGACTCAGAGGTGCGTCTGTTTCAGCGGTGCCAGGAGCTGCAGGCGTTAGTGCAGGAGAAGGAGGATGTAATCGCACAGCTGGAGCAGCAGCTGGAGGAGCAGGTAAGAAAAAGCACACGCATAAAGAATTTCAACAGATGCGATGCCAGTGGAGTAATTCATAATCCCCTTTTTTTAAATTTAATACCACGTCTATCTCTATGAACACCATCTTTAACCTCCTTACTGTTCACTTATGTTTCCCCGCCCTTGTTCTCTGTTTCGCTTCGTCTAAATCTGCCCTTCTTATTCCAAAATATATTCACCCAGAGAGACAGACGGCTCATTTTTACTTCTTTCAACAGAAACAGCTCCGCCTTCAAGATGCCAAGACGGTGGAAGAGAAGGCAGCTAAGATCAAAGAGTGGGTGATGCTGAAGTTGTCAGAGGTAAATCTGTGTGTACGTCAGCTGTAAAGGCTCCTAAAACACAGATAAGAAAGACACGGAAATCTGGAAGATAAGTTAAAGTTTTTAATGTGGTTGCTGGTTTATGTGAGAACATGTTTGTGCTTCAGTTTGAGGTAGAGAATGCAGCATTAAGAGAAACCAACAAACAACAGGAGGCTCAGATTTTGGAGCTTCAAAAACAAATACAAGGTATAAGCTTTTGGAACTTTGTTGGAACATGTTAACATGCAAGTTATTTATGCAGGTTAAAACTCCTAAATGCCTGCTACTAGCAAATACAGATTTATTAATGCTAATACATTGTAAGCACACGCTGCAGTATGCGCATGACTGTTTGCTGCTTTTGCAGCCTTTGAGCAGAAGTGCAAGGGTGGAGCTGGAGCCCTGTGTAGGCCAGGTGAAGCCCAGCGTCTTAGCAGCCTGACGTTCGGCTGCTTTCAGGTGAGAGGGAAGAACCCGCAGGTCCTGACTGGACCAGCGCCGTCCCAGAAGACCCTGAGCACACAGGGGGAGACAGACGCCAGGGACAAAACGGGTAAGTCCCCACACAGTCACGCAGCTATGGATAATGAAAACAGCATCTGTGAGTGGTTAGATGGGACTCTGGGGCAGAGCTGGACACAGGATGGTAACTATCTGAGTGAGGTCATAGTCATGCTGTATTAAGGAAAGTATTTGCCACTGGAGTATTTTATGGGCTATTTGGAGACTTTTAATAATAATAATAATGTGTGATAGTTATATAACATAATAACATCACTGATTGTTAGAGTAAGAATGTGAAGAAACAATATAGTTAAACTGTGAGATACTAAGATTCTTCAGTCATAATTGTGCAGATCTATTTAATGTGGTGCTGGAATTGTATTAACATTGTTTGCCAAACTGGTTTTAGTGTGTTAGAAAGCCAACACTCACTAATTAGCTATAAACACACAGCATAGCAGAGACTGATGAGAACAAGAATTGGTTCTCCTAGTGTTTGGTCATAAACCAAGTATTGTAGAGGAAGAGCTGAAAGCTTTAGTCAAAACAAAGCATTTACTAGATGGTGTTCCTGGGCACAAAGGTCCAGAAAAACACCCTGAAGAGAGGTTAAAAGTGGGTTGAAGAGCTGGAGTTAATGTACTGCTGCTCAGTGATCAGTGATGTGTGTCAGGTGGGTCAGAACGGAACCTGGAGGGAAGCCACAGGAAAGGCTTTCACACATAGGGGAGGATTCACTAACTGGGGGGAGTTTGTGTGATGCCGCAAATTGCAGATTTGCACGAATGGGGTTGGAAAGTTCTGCAGGTGATCTACAAAAAATGGTCTAACTTACAGACAAAGATACAGCCAGTACATTACAATAATAACCAGACTTCTAACAAGCTGCTGTGGTGCAGAGCATTAGTAAATCTGGCCTGTGAACACACTTATTATTGCAGACCTCATTAAATATGTATTTAGATTCACTTTCAGATCCCGCAAGTCAGCCATAATATAAAATGCGGTCAATAAAAATACTTTTTAAAGCGCCTTGCAGTGTTTTTGAGTTTTACATCGAAATGTCTGTCAAAATGTAGTTAATGAGACTCCAGAAGATCAGAAGTGTCTTAAGATTAATATCTGAGTCTTTCAATATATAATACTCACTTTAACTAATGCACAGCATTACAGGGCAACAGGAAAAGGATGAGTCAGGATCTGACAGTAAATGATTATTTCTGTGCTTTTGCACACTGCACTGGTCAGATGCAACACAGATGTCAGGTTTGCATGGTGAATGCTGCCTCCACCCGAGCTATCAGATATATTTCTGTTTGTAACGTTAGCACTAGCGGAGATTTGCAAATTCACCAGAAAATAAATGAGGGAGAGAAATTAGATCAGAGAGAGGGGGCAACTATCCCAGAGGAACAAATCCTTCAATTAACTTATTTAATTTGAATTATTTAACTTTCTTTCTTTTTTTTGAAATACATAGTTCACTTAAATTGTAATCTGTAATCTAGAAAGATCTCAAATGCTTCGTCTTTAGTGCTCCACCAGCTGTGAAATTATTGCACATTTTTATGCTTTCTTTGGCAGATAAAAGTAGTAAGAAGACAGCCTCATCAGTGACAGATGGTGAAGTCCATAAACCGAGCCAAACTGGACTGCTGTGTTCTCCGCTAGAGGATGACGGTGCACCTGAAAGCTCTGTTAGCAATGCATCTGGACCCGAGTCCCGCCGCGTATTGTCTGTCCTCTCCAGTGCTGCATCAGTGGAGGAAGAAGTATGTGAGAGCAGAAGCGGAGCGTGTGTTCTGGAGTTCAGCCGGCCCAGCAGTGAGACCTACCTGACAGCTTCAGACGACAGCAGCTCTCTGTTTGACGATGACATGCAGCGTACAGAGCGCCCCAGCTTTAGCCTGCTGGAGCCATCAGATGGAACACTAGCAGGGTGTAAGAATGACGAGGAGGAGGGACGCACGGTTAAGTTGGAGGATTGCACCTCTGAGGAGCTCAACAAACGATTCCAGTCACAGAGACTTGACTCCTCATCATCTTCCAGTGAACCTAACACTCCCAGCCCCATCCTCACACCAGCTCTCACCCCTAAACGGCCCAACCTGCCCCAGGATCCAAAAGACAACCCCGCCTCACCCAAACAGCCCCGTCTGAGGACTCCTACGGGGTTTGGGTTGATGAACGTGTCTCTGGCCAAGAAACACCTAAGCCAGCCGTCAATCAGCAGTGAGGCAGCACATGGCCAAACGCGTAATGCACTCAGCATGCTGCGCCCCCTCCAGCCTCAGGAAACTGATGTTGATGCACAGCAGGAGGTTGGAATGGAAATGGGAAAAGCCACAGTTCCCGAAATCCTTCCCTGCTCACAAGCAGCAACCACCGTGCCATCCGCACCAAATTCATCAGAACCTGGGACAGAGATGGGCTCAGAGAGGTCAGACTGTGATAGCACCACACCTGGCAGCAAACCTCCTACTCCACCTTTACACAGGCTCCCCTCCTGGGTAAGACTGCCCTTCATGTTAGGCACACCAAGTTGTGTTTTTTTTTTAATTGCAAATTTGGCACTGGCAACAAATTCGAAAACAAATTCCCAATGTTCAGCTAAGTATGAATAAAGAAATCAAATATGTTTCTTACAGAAATCAATCCTTAATACATTGGAAAACTGCTTATGTTTTAGGCAATTTATTTATTTTTTTACAGAATTTGTTTTTCCTGGATAAAGGAAACAATATTTTGCACTACTGTGAAACACAAATAGTCCGTCATGAAGTCCTTCATGTGAAACATTACAATTTTAACCACATATTTTCTTCTAAGTGTTGGACTAAGTACAGGAACTTCTCCATGTTTGTAATTCTGTTGTTTACACTGCCATCTGCTGTAAATGTGAGTAAACAGAAAAGTTTCAAATAGATAAATTCAGTGATTAGAATTAGAAAGCCGTCTTAGCAATGGGGCGGATAACAAGGTTTAAACAGAAAATTAACTGAAGCCCAAAGTGAATAAATAGTAAAAAATATCCAGTCAAAATAAATAATAGTAAATTAATGGACATAAAATGAAACAAAAAGTTAAATTAGCATACTGAATTGGTAAAATTGTTAGCTAAATTGTTAGCTTTAACAGCTACAATGCTAAACAAAAGGCTGTTAAGTATTAGCTAATGTACGGCTAATGGCTAAAGTACTAAGCTTAAAGTAGTAACAGTTGAAATTTTTATGTAAAAATAACTTAAAAGCACTAAAGTCGCTAAAGATTAAAAAATGTATTAAATTTAAATGCAAATTAAAGTAATGGGCAGGTTGTTGAGCTACTTGCTACTTCTTGGCTAAACAGCTGAGAGTCAGTTTAAAGGTAAGATGAGCTCTTGCTCATATTATTAACCAGGAGTTGCCTTCATATACTGAAGGTAGATGATATACAAAAATAAATATAGTGTATGCAGTTACAGCTTTTGAATGTTATTATCTAATGGCAGGCTTGGTTTTAAAATTGACTAATGACATGGCACATTTTCTTTTCAGGAAAGTCGTATATATGCTGTTGCTAAATCAGGAATCAGACTGTCTGACACTTCATGCACAGACCTGTCTAACAAAGGTAAGAGAGTGGGTAAAAAACAGGTCTCCCTACTTAGCTGACAGCTTAGTCTGCTGTAGTGGTTTCTAATAAACAAACTGTACTTTGTGTCCTAGACCCATCCCTTCAGTCTTCCTATCCAGCCTTTGTAATGTACACATCACTCATCTATAAAAACATGACTACACCAGTTTACACTACTCTGAAGGGGGTAAGTATAAGAGTACAAGGCCATGTTTAATTGTAACACCTGTACATTCCCCCACTATCTATTTGATCACTTGTGAACTTGAAAAGAAAATGCTTTTTTGTTTATAGTTAACAGCAATTGTGTCACCAAAGTGGATTTTAATATCTAGTATATGGCTCTGAGTGTGTGCCATTTTCAAATTGCAGAAAGCTACTCTGCTGAGCAGCAGTCCCTTCTCGGATGAGTCATCAAGCTCTGAGGAGTCATCTAGTTCAGGAGACGAGGACGGCTCCCTGTGCAGCTCCCACACCTCCTCCAGCTCCAGAAAAGACAGCAGCCCAGGCAGCCCACGCTCTCTCAAGAGAGGTACAAACAACCACTGCATATAAAAGATGGACATAGCCTCTAGTTTTGCATTGTGACCTTATCCATTTTAAGTTTTTTATACCCCTGGTAGTAGATAAGATACTAGAGATGGCACGATACCACTTTTTATGTCCGATACTGATATCATAAATTTGGATATCTGCCGATACCGATATAAATCCGATATAGTGTATTTTGTAATCAATAAAAAAATTTTTTTTAAATATCTTGCTGCATTGTGTATAAGTTCATACTCAAGTTTAAAGAACAAAACAAAACTAAAGCTATTCTGTTATATCTGTGTGCAAAAAATACACTGCACCCAAAATATTTCATAGTTCAGCAACACTGATCAATCTAATAGACATAAACCTGCACCATCCTCCCTATTCTGCTATTTTAAAGAGAACTTAGTGGAAATATTAAACAACCCAGCTAATAGCGCTGCCAACTCCCAGCAAAAAAAATAGGGAACCACCCCCCACCCTCCGCCTCGTGATGCTTAATCGACGTAATCGACTGTAATTTAATGCACGTGTAAAAACAAAATGCACAGAAATCAATAATTTTTCTACAGTAATTAAATAGATTCAATATCTTTATTCAACAGAATTGCAGACTGCACAGATGGTCCCTTCCCAAAGGAAAAAGTACTATAGCTTACCAGGGTATATATTAGACAATAATGGACTTCTATACATACCAGCTGTCAGCTACGTAGAAAAAGATCCTGGTGTAGAAAGTAATATTAAATACATTCTAACAACAGCTTATCAAGCTTAAACGTGCTGCTGTTGTTTATCCGCTGGTTTCCTCTTTCTGGCGCAAAGTGGGCGATAAACAAACAAGAGAGACGGACTCGCGACAGAAAAGCCGATCAGCTGATCATTGATCAGTTTCATGATTGAAGTAACAACAGGAGAGGGAGGGAGAGAGAAGAAGAGGCAGTCGCTCCCAGCTTTCACTGGGAATGCTTTACAAACATTCAGAGATGATCTTACACACTTGCTTTACTTCCCTGGGATAGCTTTCTCAGAGATTAAATGCCGGTTTGGAAGCAGGTAGCGAGGCTCCAAAAGCTCAACCAGACCGCCAACAGGTCTCGCACGCCACAGCCAAGTGGCATACTCCTCCGACGTGCTACGGTTATGAGCTGGGTTACGCTATATCGCAAGTTTTGTGAGGTGCTTTTGTGATATTGAATGGATCGGATTATATTTTTTATTTCTCTCCGATATCCAATCCAGTAATTTAGGTCAGTATTGGACCGATACGTAATTTTGGATCGGTCCAACTCTAAACCATACACTGTGTAAGAGCATCACACAGATCTATATTAGTACCATACTCTGTATCTCATTGTACAACTGTATAGTGACAATAAAGGCATTCTATTCTATTCTATTCTACTAATTAAAATACTTAGATTTCACTCACCAAATTAGACAGGCTATGAGTCCAACTGACCACTTAAGGTCAGCTGCCATTTTTTGAATTGTTAGTACACTTGTCAGGTTCAGTCGTTAAGAGAAACATAATAGTTTTTAAACCCAGATAATTATGTTATCCTGTTAAATTGTTACCATCTGTTATAACGTTACAGACAGGCAGGACTAATAACATTTGCTGCACACTAATGCTGCAGTTTTATTATTAGCCATAGCTCCTAGCTACTAACTCATTTATAACTAAATAGCTAATGTGGCTATCGTTGACACAGTCAGTGGTTCTGCATGTTTAATTTGACACAACCCTCCCGGAGAGCACTAGCTTGTGAACCACAGGCTAAATTTGTAGCTATTGGCTAACTGCTTATAGCTAAATAGTTTTTAGTATCAGTTAGTATTTGAGAATTGATTTTAAGACTGATATCTGTGGGGATGGACTCATTTTTGGAGCTAGTCTCATGTGGCTATCACAGGACCTGGAGATTTAAGAAGCTTTTTTGTTTAATTCTTCACCTCCAAAGACTGACTTTCTCTGTTTTTCATGTGTGAACTTACTGTCCTCAAGCTGTGTCCGTGGCGTCGATGACATCAGAGTGTGACTATGCCATCCCTCCTGATGCTTACTCCACTGACACGGAGTGCTCGGAACCTGAGCAGAAACTGCCCAAAACCTGCTGTTCACCCAGTGACAACGGCAAGAGTGTTAGTGACAGCTCAACACTTTGGTCCACTGTTGTTAGTTTCCATGCTTTAAACAGTGCTGACTGGTTAAGTTACATCATTTGAAGCTAATTTTAATAACTACAACTGAAGTCTTTGAGGTAACTCTAAGATTAGAAATTGATGCGACCGCATTACTGAAGTACCTCTACCTTCAAAAGCTATTTGAGTAGTGACTTTGTTTTTTCTGCTCACAGCATGATGACATCATGTTTTTGAACCTAAGGCTCATTAGCCAACATTTAGTTAATTTCTCAGGTCTGTTTCATTAGCGGTTCTCTTTGGTGCTGCATAAAACTGAACAGTGTCACAACCTTTAGGAGCCAATGGAGAAGTCAGGCTATTTGCTGAAAATGGTCAAAACCTGGAAGAAGACCTGGAAGAGACGCTGGTTTGTCCTCAAAGATGGAGAGCTGCTCTACTATAAGTCACCGGTATGTTGGTTTCAACAACAAAAGCTACTTTTGGCTTCTCCGCATGTTTGATTTGGCAGATTTTTACACCAGACTGTCTTTCTGTCCCAATCACTTCATCTACTTTTTCTGGATTTGAAACGTTTTTGTTTTTTCCTTTGTTGAGACTCGTGGCCGACAGGTTAACAAGATTAGGATTTCTGATTCTTCCACAGAGCGATGTGATCAGGAAACCTCAGGGTCAGATCAAGGTCAGCGCCACCAGCAGCATCGCCCGTGGCGAGGGCAAGCAGATTCTCCAGGTATTCAGTCTTCGATGAACGGCCACAATCATCTAACATTTCTAGAGCTTTTAAATCCTTTCCTTCACATTTTCACGTCCACCTGGGCTTTTATTTATCCTTGTGTGTAGATAGTAACAGGAAAGCGCGTTTACTACCTGAAGGCGGACTCTCCTAACCTGCTCGAGGAGTGGCTTCGGGTCCTGCAGAGCGTGCTGAGGCTGAAAGCCGCCAGTCCTCTCTTCACTCAGCCGGATATTCGCCCTGGCATGAAGGGACTACTCATCAAGGTCCCTGCATCAAAGTTTACTCATTTTCTAATAGCACAGAGAAAATGGCACAATATTTCACAAAATTCTGTGTTTTACGCTCCGATTTGTACTTCCTCTGCTGCAGGTGAAACACGGCTACTCTAAGCGGGTTTGGTGTGCTCTGATCGGCAAAACGTTGTACTACTTTCGCAGCCAAGAGGACAAGGTGTGCATCTGTAGAAATACATCTGTAGCCTTTGTCAGGAGCAGGTGATCAATTTAAAACTGACCTGAGCTGTTACTTGTGACTGAACGTGGAGCGCACGTCTGCTTTTGTTTCCAGTTCCCGCTGGGTCAGATTAAGCTGTGGGAGGCTCGGGTGGAGGAGGTGGACAGGTCAAGAGATTCAGATGACGACCTAAAGGCATGCGGGCGAGGCCTACAGCCGGCACCCTTCACCGTTGCCATTCACCCACAGGAGCAAGGACCCACTTACTTGCTTATTGAATCCCGCCATGAAAAGGTCAGCGCGGGACTGAAAGGTTGAACTTTTCTGTTCTGTAAGGCAGGCAGACCCGTGTATCTTCTGACCATCGTGTTTAAGCTCATGTGTACAGTCATTTTTCTGTACTGCAACAAATCTGCTCTGAGACTGAGAGCAGCTCCATGAGAGGGGCTTCCTGTGTTTTACTTGAAGCTAAAACCAATCCAGTCAATTTTAAACTACAAACTGATGATTATGCATAATTATGTTTCCTGTTGTGATTTTGTCTCTGGGATCATTGTGTAGGAGTCGTGGCTGTACCATCTGTCTGTGGCAGCAGGCACTACGGTGGGCAAAGTTGGCACTGAATTCGAACAACTGGTGGGAAAACTCTTCCAGCTGGATGGAGATCCAAGTGAGTACAAACGATTTTGTCTTGTGTTGTGTTTTATAGTTTTGTTTTACTTGATGCAGATTTTTTCATACTTTCTCTCATCCACAGATAATTTTATTGCGACTTAAAATGTCTTATGTCACAGTGTTTTACTGACCACAAACTGTCCTGCACACGTTTTACTGCATGTGAACATATTATTTTATTGGGCATCTATTTGGTCGTCAAAATGGTGCACGTACAGTTACCTCTAGGGACATTAAATAGCCCTGCAGTGTACACTGAGGGTACGTTTTATTTGTAGGGACAGAAATTAACTGTAGCTCGGGAATTTCTTAAGTAGAAGCAAAGATTGTTTTTCTTTCAACAGTGTTTTATTTTTCAAAGTCATTCAGTAACAGCTCGACAACTACAGCCTCACTTTGGAGTCTGCAGTTAGAGAGACTTATGTGAAATACAGTAGGATTTGTTGTCCTCTGCACAGAGTTGCAGTTGAATTTAAGCACAGTGAGCATTTTTTTTGTCAAGAGACTATAATTAGACAGAAAACAAAGCAAAAATTCTTAAAATATTTATTTTTGTGCTTAGTTTTTGTTTTTGTTTTTCTTATTAATGCAGGGACGTTATTTGTCAGGTCACGTTTACAGCAGTGCCGTAATAAAGCTCAATAATAAAAATGCATACACCACTGTCTGTTATTGGAGGTTGTTTTGACAAATTTGACTCAGCTTAGTTCAGTTTTGGAAGTACACAACATTGTTTCTTTCATTTTTATTTTAGTTGCTATTCCTTCCGTCTTTTACTCTTATGACCCACTCTCCTACCTGCCTTTCAGACTCTCAGATTTGGAGACATCCCATGTTGTGTTTCAGCAAAGAAGCCTTGTCATTTCCTCTCACCACCCTGCCCTCACAAGCTCTGCAGACAGAGGCAGTGAAACTCTTCAAGGTACCACAAACCTCCACATGTTCGAATAAAAAATGTCGTCACTGAATGTTTCTTCTATCAAATAGCTAACTGTATGAAAAATATTTTCTCTCTTTTAAACTCTCTCCATCACCGCCTCTCAGACTTGTCAGCTCTTCATTAACGTGGCCATCGATGCTCCGGCCATCGACTACCACGTCTCCCTGGCCCAGAGTGCCCTGCAGGTGTGCCTGGCCCACCCCGAGCTTCAGAATGAGTTTTTCTGCCAACTCATCAAGCAGACCCGCAAGAAGCAGCCACACGGCCATCCGGGACCCCTGCAGGTTTGCGTTCTCACCACATAGTGGCAGCAGCAGTATGCATTGTTAAGTGGAAAGGCTGGCAAAAAAGGCGTGGTATCATCAGGGTTCACTGACCTAACAAATATCAAAACTGCCTAGAAAGGAGATCTTTTAGTATCTATTACTATACGGATCAATTTTAGAAAAGTGCCGACATAAGAGAGGCAAGAAGAGTGTTGCCTCTCTTATGTCGGCATGAAAACCAGAAGAGTTTTGTAGACTGTCTGTTCACCGTCACTCTGTGGTAATCTTCCATAGCCAGTAACCAGAAATACTGTCAGAGGGCAGAAAGAACAGCAGATTCCAGCGTGTGCTGATGTCTCATTCAGCTAAAAACCAAAACACTGTGTCACAGCACGATCATCCCTGTACATGAATGAACTCAGTGTAGCTGATTAACAGGAACCAGTATGGCCACTTGTTTTATGCTTTATACGAAACAAGGAAACAGTGCAGTCTTAAGTCTGTCAGCTGTGGTCGTGCATAGAAATTCACCGAGTCATGCATGTGACAGTTTGTTAAAGATGTGGTGACTGAGTGTTTGCACGTCGCTCTCCAGGGCTGGCAGTTTCTAGCCTTGTGTGTGGGACTGTTTCTGCCACAGCACCTTTTCCTCTGGCTGCTCCAGATCCACCTCAAAAGACATGCAGATGCCAGGTGAGAAAACACAGGGGCCCTGAAAACTGACACAACGAAACGAAGCACAAAATACAGCCAGTGTACTGTGTATGTACCATCTGGATAGATATGCTCTTTGCACTCGAGCACTTCTTTACCTCCTTCCCAGGAATACTGTATAATAAATCAGCTTGAATACAGTTATAATATTTTGGGATTGAAAGACCGAGTTATTGCATAAGCACATATTTATTCTCTTTCTCTTTTATTTTACTGATGGCTGTTTTCATTTCCTTTGCTTTGAGATCTGAGTTGCTTTCAGGGAATTTTGGCTATAAAAATGTTCACGTATCTGTAACTAAAGAGTGGCTACATTTTGTCCTCAGGACAGAGGTGGGTAAGTATACCATCTACTGCCAGCGCTCCATGGAGCGGACACAGCAGAAGGGCGAGAGACAGGCCAGGCCTTCTCGTATGGAGATTCTTTCGATTCTTCTGAGGAATCCCTATCATCACTCCCTGCCCTTCAGTGTGCCCGTGCACTTCCTCAACAATACATACCAGGTATAATAGTCACTCACTACACAGAAAAAACAACGATCAACGGCTGCCTGCCTCCAGTCCTAACAGTTTAATGATGTATGTGGCAGTTTGAGCACCGCTATTTTTCAACTGACAGTAAAACAATACCATATACACCATTTTAAATCACATGCTGTGAGTCATGTGACCCAGTTAAACGGATTTACAGTTGTGCAGGATTATGGTATATGTTTGAAAGCCATTCGACCTTTGCCTCGGCTCTTTAATAAACCGTAAAAGAGTCACTTCTGTAAGCCCAACCCCACTGACAGATACTCTGCTGAGGGGTGTTTATACAAGGATCCACTGCTTTTCTACCTTTAACCTCATAAAATCATGCTACTGAGTATCACTTTTCCAGAACTATGTTCTTTATGGTTGGTTAGTGTCCAATGTGAGACTTTCCCTGTTCACTTTTCCTTTTTTTGCTTTTCTATAAAGAGCTATGTACACATTAAGGCATTTAGGTCGTATTCTACACAGACCTGTGTACATCTAAATCCTCAAATATCCACTTTATTGCGGTTACAAGAAGTGCCGAATTGTCCAAAATGTCAAGTTTTGTGATGCAATAAACAGGAACCAGTGCCCTAAATGTTAAACCGGAGCCATACATGAACTGTGGCTCTGTTTGTGGTTGTTGTTGTTGATATCGGCTTGTTTTTTGTGCTGATTTGCATGTTTTTCCTAGCTTAAACGATGGTTGAGTGAAACTAGCTCATCCACGCTTGATTCTTGCTAACTAACTCTCCCAATGTGCACTCGATATCTCACAGGCTATGATATGAGAAAAATGCCAAATATTATGCCTTTTTGTCATCAAAGTCACACAGAGATGTTTATCTGTTCACTTTGTCCCTCCGGGCACCATCGTCGCTCTCTTCGCTTCACTGCTCCACCCAGTATCAAGCTAACCTTGCATCTCTCCCCTGGGTGTGTGTGTTTCCCTTTGCTACCTGCTTCCTGGCTGTCCCCGCCTATACATACTGGAAGTGATGAGATCATTACCTTTACATGTATTAACAGTTCTGGACTCAAAAACAAAGAAAGCTATGAAACCTGTTTTGTGTCTGTTTGTAATCGATGTCAAGCTTATTGTGTGAGAGAATAAAGTAAAGGCAAAACATAAATACCCTGTATTATATAAAGTTAGTTTCAAGATATTTTTAATTTTAATTACATTTTAATATTTTTTAATTTGACAGCTTTGATAATTATTTGTTATCGTTATGACCCCGCTGCTCCCTTCATTTTGAGGTTAACCATGGAGTATCCACCCTAACGTCCAGAGCTTCACGATCCTCTCAGAATGAAACAGAGCAGCTTTCTTTAACCCTAAACTTTTAGCGCCTCATTTTATTTATTCGCAATGATCACCCCTTCCAAAAAAAAAGGCAAATTCTGCCGTATCTGCTGTGGATATCTTATTTGTATTACCCCAGAGTAAAAATTTGCATTTCAAATCAAATCAAATCAAATCACTTTTATTGTCACATCGCATGTGCAGGCACACTGGCACAGCACATGCGAGTGAAATTCTTGTGTGCGAGCCCCACAAGCAACAGAGATGTGCAAACACAACAACAGAAACGAGCAAAATACAAGAATGGCCAACCATTTCTTGCTACTAGTTTGTTTAAACATGTTTAACTACTCCATGTCCATGTTGATTGCTGTGTTATATGGACTATGAAAACTTTTCTGCCCAAAATGCTGGCTCATTTAATTCCATACATTTTTATTGCATAAGTACAATGTTACATTTAAAGGGACCTGATCGAATGAAATTAACTTGGTTGGTATAAATTCAGTTTATACCGAGGACATCTTTTAAAAGTCTTTTAATAAATAAACATTTGATCTTATCTGTTTATTGAGGGTGAAAAATCTATTTTTGAGTGTAACCTATAATTATTGCTGGAGAGACTATGTAAATATATATTCCAGAACTTTCCAAGCCAGCATATAAAATCTATGTTAGATTATACTTTTGTGTGCTTTGTTATGTGCCTGTATTAGTAAAGGAAAGCTTGCACTGAAGTCATGCTGCATGTGATTAGTGCAACTTTGACGTTACTGACGTTGATGTTGGATATTTCATTATTCATTGAATAACCAGGCAAATATAAATTATTCATGATATTCATCCATAATATGTAATGTATAATGTTAACAGAACAGAAGATCAAAGACCAATTGTCTTGTGTTTTTCTGTCTGTGAAGTTTATTTCTGTATCGGCACTAATAACGCGGCACAGTCAATCATCAGCGGGAAGAGAAAAATCTGTTCAAACCGTCGCTGTGACAGGAAGTAGATGCATTTACACACATGCGCACAACAATTCATCTTTCCATATCAGCCAGTCATAACACCTGTTAAACATTAACAGGTTACCTGAGTCAGTGTCGATATATCACAGTTTCTGTAAACAGCATTAAAGTTTAACACCATGCAGATGTTTTGGGTCAGAAATGTTGTTCTTTTGAGCTGAAGCTTGACCCGGATTTATTTTGAAAACTCTGAAGAATCATTGCACACTCAGATTAGATTATTGCGTCTTCCACTTGTGCATTTAATTCCTTGTTCACCTACACCTTGTACTGTAGGTGGTGAGCTTTGACGCCTCAACAACGGTGGACGAGTTCCAGTGTCGTCTCAACCAGGACACCGGCATGAGGAAAACGGGACTTTCTGGTTTCAGCTTGTACACCGATGACCCCACTGGACGGTCGCTGGAACACTGTCTGCAAGGAGGCCTGAAGGTGCGCCTTTTTGTCATGCGGTGATTACGTTAGGAAGATTGAAAAATCTGCGTTTTCCCACACAAAGGTGTCTCGTCTCATGTGCAGATTTGCGACATTATCTCCAAATGGGAGCAGGCCTCCAAGGAGCATCACACCGGCAAGTCGGAAAACACCAGGACTGTCCGCCTCACCTACAAGAACAGGTAGCGTCCAAACATCAGGTTCAACAGTTCAGTGTTGAAGTAATGCTCATTGGGATAAAAACGTTTGTTAGCTATTCTGCTTATTGAGGGTCACTAAAGGTTACAGCTGGGTGAGACACACCATGGATGCCAAGTGGTCACACGTTGCATAAAAGCTTTTGTAAAGCTTGAGTCTGTGTCCTGTGTAGCAAGTTTGAGAAAAAAGGACGAATGCAAAACAAAACATTGAAATAAAATATGCTGCATTGATTTCAACCCCTTTTATTGCAGTTCATTCTTACATAATTAGAATTCTTGATTATATTTGATGCATCGCTCTTCACTGTAAATTAAACTAGATGGCGGATCAGAGGCAGACTGCACATGAAGATCAGGATTTGTTGTCACCACACAAAGGGACTGGAGTTACTGCCTGGATTACATGTTTCTCTCAGGAGGATTTATCGCCCGGTCGCTTTGTCCTCATATCAGTTCTCTTTAACTTTTCCTCTCCATCTTCAGACTTTACTTCTCTCTCCAAGTGAGGGGGGAGTCAGAGAGGGAGAGGTTACTGCTGGCATATCAGACCAATGAAGCCATCGTAGCCGGACACTTTCCTGTCAACAAGGAGCTGGCTCTGGAAATGGCCGCACTGCTCGCACAGGTCTGACATCAAGTGATTTTTCTTTTAACTCACTTCTTGCGTTTCATATCTCTTTCACAGCGTGTGTAATGTGGCCTGGCTTTATGCAGTGGTTCATGTGTAACTCGGGCCCTGGTCTAAAAACAGTGATATCTGCCACATTTTTCGTCATTTTTTTATGTAATTTATAGCTGAATAATGCCACATATGTCGTATCCACTCCTGGATTAAAGTGAGAAACAGAGCGTGAAGAATTTCTGAATACTTACTGCTTGCACTGCGTGTCTGTGTACAGGTGGAATTTGGAGATTTTGAGCGTCCCTTCTCCACCTCTGGATCGGCCCAGACTAAGTCTAATCAGAACCTGAAGCAGGTGTTGGACAGATTCTACCCCAAACATTACCGCAGGAGTACATCTGAGGAGCAGCTCAGGTACCAGACACAAAACACACCCTGAGAAACAGTGGCTTTAAATCTGAACTCACGTCCTACTTTGTAGTGCATGCACATTATCTGTTTATGCTTTTATAGTCTTTTATTACACCTATAACATCAAGGTTTCCACCCCAGAAAGCAGCTTTGTGACTGCTTGTGTTTTATTTTTCTTTCCTCATACAGTACCTGTCTTTGTGTTCTCAAGTCTTTAATGGTCAAAAAGAGACTTACAAAACTGTAAATGCTTTAAAAGCAAACTCTATTTTGTCCTCTGCTTTCCCTCAGACAACTGCTACAGCGTCTCTCTGCCCGCTGGGCTTCACTCAGGGGTCGAAGTTCACCAGAGTGCGTCAGGATCTACCTGACCGTAGCCAGGAAGTGGCCGTTCTTTGGTGCCCGACTGTTTGAAGCAGAGGTGAGCATGTGTGAGCAGTAATCTGTTTGTAAATAAAGTTTATCTTATCATCTCAGATACTGAATATATGTTACAAATTACAAAGAAGTAGCATGAATGGAGGCCAACATTTAAACTAAATAAACTGTCAGTGTGCTGAAAAGAAAAGAAAAGAAAAACGTAGGGGACAAAAACTTGAAATCGGTTTCTTTGCATTGTTTCCCACTACAGTGTCAACAGTATCTGACAGAGTGAGTGCTGCAGTTTTTCAACACATCGTGAAAACATGCTCGTAACTAACCTCATCCTCTGTTCTCTCTGCTTTAGTCCATCACGCCCTCTCCGGAGCCCGGTGTTCGTGTTTGGCTGGCTGTACATGAAGATGGTGTCAGCGTTCTGGAGCACAACTCCATCGTGAGCAGCTTTGTGCAACACAGTCTCAGAAACCTGCATAGGAAAGATTTCTCCGCTTTGCTGCCGTGATTTCAGATTAACAGTTACTTAGTCGTCATGTGTTTCTTCAAACTCCAGAAGTAAACATTTGCATACGGTGTAAAATCACTTTTAAGTATCATAATGTAAAGCACAGAGCGTTACATCGTTTTTGATGTCATTCTTGTTTCTTTAATCTTAAAACTGAGGCCCAGAATTCAGTTTTTACATTTCACATCCTATTTTTTAATCGAATTCTGTTACTACAATTTATTTTTGTGTCTGGTACTCAGAAACTGCTGGTGTGCTACTCCTACAAGAACCTGATGACATTTGGAGGCTGCAAGCAGGACTTTATGCTGGTGATGGGTCAGAACGTCGGCACTAACGCCAGCAAAGACAAACCTACAGAGAAACATCTGTTTGCTATGGACCCCTCCAAGGTCAGTGAGAGGGCCAGAGGGCGACAGTCCAGACGGCCAAGCAGAGTTTGTATTCTTAAAATGGATGGCACATTTGTTGTCGCAGTAAAACTGTGTCACACTGCTGCCTTTCATTCCACTCATTCTATCTCAGTATGTGTCAGTACATGTTGCAAAACAGCAGGACAAGTTAGACAATTAACTCCTGCCTGACGTCGACCAAAGTGAAACAGAACGTAACAGATTTCTCTGGGAAATTAAAGGCACGACACAAAGAAATAACAGAGACATTATGTAAAAGATGTTCGTCTAATTCTTTGTGAATCCTTCAGGTGAGTGTTTTTGGTGTTAGCTATGTTGTTAATCACAAAATGTGTGAGTTTAGTGTTTTTTTTTTAAGAATGCCTTTATTAGTTTTTAACATCCATCCATTTCTTGCACTTAGCCAAAGGTTGTGGGGAGGGTGTCCTGGGAAGAGAGGCAGGGCACACCCTGGATAGGTCTATACTATTGCAGGCCTAACACAGAGTGAGACAGACAACCGTGCGTGCTCACATCCACACCCACACCCAATTTAGAATCATCAGTTAACACTACATTCGTGTCTGTTTTGTGGGAGGAAGCTGGAGTACCTGTAGAGAACGCACAGAGCAAGAGGCAGAACACGCAGGCTCCACACAGCCTGCCCGTGGATTTGAACCCAGGTCTTTTTACTGTAAACCAACAGTGCTAACCACTGTTCCTCTATTCTCCAGTTCTCTATAGAAAAAGGGAAGAAAACAAACTGTTGAACTTCACAGAAAATCAGAGCAGAACAAATACTGCATGATTCAAACAAGTTCATCTGTTTTACCTTCTTTTAAAGCTAAAGCTGTGTCTTATCCATTGAGTAACATTTGGCCTTTTTAATTTAAAACAATGCTACTGTCTTTTTGACATTAAAAAAACGGAGGTTCGTTCATGTCTATACTACATTCTTTGGATACAGACAAAATAAAAATGTCTTGGGTAAATGTTTCATGAATGTCACTTTGGTGCTGGAGTTAGCTTCATGTTTGAATCTTTTACGCTGACAATTTGGCTTAAATCCTTTAGCCGCTGTGCATTTCTTACCACGTTATAAACAAATGCAAAGTTGGCACTAGATAATGTATTTATAGAGAAGACCTGAAACCCACACCTAGGGCTACAAACAAACTTACTTCATCTATCTGAGGTCACAGATCAGGGTTGTTTTCCTTCTATACAGTCGACTTCTCTCTGCAAACAGAGGACTTTCCCTCCTGCAGATCCTGCAGATTCTGCACTGGCTTCACTTATTCGATGCAAAGACCATGTCCATCTTTTATATATAGTCTATGAGATGTACAAAAACTGGAATGCATCTCTGTTTTTGTTTTGTCCACAGATCAGGGAGGTCACGCTCCTTATTTTCAGTTACATCAACAGCGCACATCAGCAGAAGGCCGCCGCCCACCACCTCTCTGCTCCGGCCCTGATGGTGGCCCAGCCCGTGAGCCTGAAGAGCAAAGAGTTGAGGAGCAAATCCCCACCAGCTCTGGGACGCCCCAGCAAGGCCCCCACTCTGCTGTGATGGCGCAAAGACTTACACCCTGGTCTTAATTTACATTAGAAATGTAGGATCTTTAGCTGCGTGGTTTCATCTGCGCATTTAAGCCCAGCTAAATTCTAATAAGTGGAACGGTTACCCCTTCGTGACGAGCCGGGCGCTAACAAAAACGTATCTGTTGAGTGCAGTTTAATATCGCAGACCAGCTGAGGTAGCAGCAATTTGCAGGTATCACCATGTAGCGCCTTGGTACCTTCCTCAGAGAACACTTGATGAGATCTGTGGCTCAAACTGGAGCTAAAGGCTTTATACAAAGGTACAATGGGGCCAAGAAGCACTAAGAGGCTTTGCTTAACATTTTTTGTGTCCCTAATGATTGTGTTGCTTTCATTTTGTCACTCCAAGGAGAAAAATCAACAGTATTTATTGACAGACTGAGCAAATGTTCTGAAACGTCTCTATCAATCAGTGTTACCTGGTACATTTCTGTGTGCATTCAGTTAATTTTTGTATTCCTGTCTTTAGAACGTAATGCACAGTGCAGAGGAGGTAATGATTAATTGTTATTAAAAAAAAATCCTTTAAAGAGGGCGCCTGTTGTTTCCTGCCTTCCTGTAGGGCAGAGTGGGCCCAGCAGGAAGTGAAACTCTTAGTGTTAAAGTGATGCATAATGATGAAAGCGGGAGGCAATAACAGGTAACCAGATGGAAGTGGAGCACAGCTGTTTAAAATGTGTTTAAACCACCTCATCTGGGGCTGTGTGCTCCTTTTTGCAGTAGATGTGAGGAAAAGAACTGTGGACTTGGTGGATTGTGTTGTTGTAAAGGAACCAGATTGTCCTCTTTGTGCTCCTGGTTACTGAACAGCCAGGAGAGTGGTAAAACTTTAATCATGTACAAATACATAAGGCCTTTCTGGTGAGGTCAGTGGATTGAATCAGCAGGAGGTTTCGACTCAGAATGTTACTTGACAGCTTTTGTGGAAGTACGGAAAAGTGTGCTGTTTCTTTATGACACACATTCCTCTATACTGAGTCCGTTGCACAGTTCGGTGGCCATCTGCTACAACTGCCCCACTTTAGGTATTAACATATAAAATCTTAGGTATTATTTTAAAAAAACCCTCCTTGTTTAGTTGTTATGAAGTCAAAATTTGGCATTTTAACACTTTTGTATCCAGCCTCAAGTGGCCATGTGAGGAACTGCACTTTCCATTGGTTTCATTTTATTCTGCCCAGAAGGTTCCAGTCCAGTCTAATCATTCATCATAAACTTTCCACCTCCATACACACACAGAAAAATCCTCGGTTCATGTCAGGGACAATATTGAAGGTAAATGAAAACTGTGCTGTGAGCAGGTCAAACTGGAAGACAGTGATGAAACACCACTGCCCATTTTTCCAGTAAACAATATGGTGAGTAAACATTCACAACGGAGCCTTGATGGCTGTCAAGTCTGAATGAGAAAGCAGTTTTAATTGAAAAGGTGTGGATAATAAAAAAAAATCACACACACACTAATGGCTAAGGGGTCTTTTTTAAGGAAAATTCAGCAGTGTGAACTCAGCTCTAAGAAATGTGTATTTCTTAAAAAGTATGTAAAAAGAAGGTGAGAAGATGTAGGAAATGTGTTTTTAGCATGTTGTTGAAAACATCCGTTGGTCACTGAACAGAGATTCCAGAGAACTGTAACGTTTTTCTTTGTTTGCTGGTGTGACAGAACACGAAACCGAATCTGATATAAACCTGAAGACAAACTGGAAAGGCATGACAGTTTAATGTAAGGTACTCCTAGTATTATCTTGATCCGGTATACAGTGAGAATAATCAGGCTCTATTTATTTGTGACATGGAATACATGTATCTAAATCCTGTGTCCTGGAAATGAAAGTTTGCTTGAGCCACGGGTGTAAATCCCAGACATTCATATAAAAATCCTCACCCTGTAGGAAACTGTATAAATCTATAGTAAGCTTTAAATTCGCCCCACTGAAGCAAACTGAAAACCGACATGTCGGTACCTGCAACAGGTGCCTCACAGCGAGCGGCACACCTTCATTCCTGCAGTCTTTCACAGAATCGAGGGGTGGGGGAGGGTAAAAGGAGAGAAGCTACATGATACCTAACCTGGCTGAACAAGTTAGAGATCTGCTTTTGTGCTCCTGTTGCTATGGAGCTAGAGAGAGGGGGCGGGGCTCACAGGAGGGCGCTGGGTGAGGCCAGAGGGAACTAAGGTAGAGCAGGTGACTGATACTGTGCTTTATGTGGGGACTGAGGTTAAAAGAAAGTAAGTCAACTGCTGATGTTGAAAACAGAATGCAAATGCATACAATAAACAGGAAGGTATACTTCTTTAGGTCAGTATTCTTTCAAATGTGCTCCAACCTTCAGGAAGGCTCCACACTGAAAACGTGTAAACAAGCACGGCCTCCTCGAGTGCTAGCTTCACAGGCCACAGCTGTACAGAACCAACCACATACTTCTTGCAATACAAACATGTTGCAACAGGAAACCAGGCGGTTTATTTATGTATTCAGATTGATTGATAATGCCAACTTCAGTTTGTTTGATGAGACGATATCTGCCATTTTAGTCCACTTGGACTTTGGCCCTTTCACCTGACTCAGTCAATCATTCCTGCCCTAACATTTTAAACCGAGGGCAGTCTCAGTACAAGCATATGCATGCATTCGTGAGTGAGATGGAACCTGTCCGACAGGTTCAACACGTCACCAAACGACTCCTGAGCGCAGCTAGAAATGCCTACCTATAATAAAAGGTTGTCCGTCTCACCTGAGGCAGTGTGACACACAAAAACAAGTCCTTTCCATCTTGGCTATAGTGGCACAAAACTGCTAAGAGCTGTGAGTTTTGCTTAACATACAAAAGTCTACTGCAAAGCACAGTCACATGATTCCTGCCACACCCGTGCAGTAGCTGATCTCCAGCAGACCTGCCCCCTGTAAACAAAGTGCCTGTTACGAACAA